AGCAGCTGTTATCTACCACATCGCACCCCTTTGGAAAAAGAAGCTAATTAGGGAATCTAAGGCTTCTACTAAAACATAGAATACAAATCCGAAGGTAGCGCTACATCGAATCAATGTGTAGGATCTTTCGCCTTGGTCCCCGCACAAAACGGGCTTGATTTAACCGTTGGTTGTTTCGTATTGGTGACCCTAGTCGTATGAAGGTGAGAGTTGCGAGATGCAGCGTCGTGCGATTTGGGGGGTTTTTCCTGCGGACGAGACGGACGAGTGCTGTGGGCTGCCTGACTTCGTGCCGCGCGTTTACTCGCCACTTAGTTACTACCTTGACGATCCCCTGGTGGTGAAGCAGAGGTAGTGCAGGACCACTGCAAGTCTGCAAGTCTTGCGACAAGCAAACTACTGGCACGACTACCTTCAAACTCAAGCCCAGGCGAATGATGGTTTGTTTTGACATCGTCTCACTGAGGAGGTCGATGTTGAGGGAGATGGTTGGAAGCTCATGCCCTCAAAGATTGCCTGGAGAGTGCGGACTGTCCCGAATCTGACCCTCAGGACCTGGAATGTGCAAATCTCATTGCAAAAAAAAGTCCCCACATGGTTTGACTCATACTCGTGCCACTCCCATGGATTTGAGCCTCAGCGGTTCAGCCGAGGCTCCTCACGTATAGCTGTGTTTAGCCCAAAGCCAACCAACCATGCAGTAAACACAGGGACAACATCAAAGAAACGTGCGAGGTCGGCAGGTTCTAAGCTTCTAGGTTCTGAGCCCCAATGCAGAAATGAGTGCAGTGAAGATGACTTCCACTGTCTGCATTGCATCATCGAGCGCAGCCCTTTGATGGCTACTCCAGCTCGCAAGGAGGTTCGCAAGTTGGACATCATCGCAGACACTGGCAGATTACTTCAAGGGGAACAAAATGAAGCTCTGACTGCGACCTTGGTTTACAACGTCTCATAGCTGTCATAGCATACATCAACTCGTCTATTGATGAAACTATGAATGGCTTCATCGGTGCTTCCGTTTTGGGTAGTCGATTCTGGTTGTAGCGACTCAGACTTTGCAGGCGAGTACGATGCGCAGTCGACCACTGGATGTGCAATATTCTTCGTTGGCCCGCAAAAGCCGACCGAAAGCCCGACCGCAAAGCCGAGCCGAAGGCGAAGAAATCTGGTGGAGCAAGTCCTGCTAATGTCCATTGGAGATATTCCTGTTTTGAACATTCAGCTGCCGAAGTCTTTCAGATAAGGCATTTGGAGGATATCAAGCCACGATCTGTGGGTTGTCTGGACAAGCCGGTGCGCGACGACACACAGACTGCTCACAGAAGGTCGATTTTGGTTGGCTCTGCCAACAGTGTGATGATGGATAGTTTCCTCTGCTAGACAAGCGAAAAGGTCTGTTGTACTAACCAAGCTTTTTACTAGCCGAAATCAACTCGGTATCGAAGTCGGCACCTTCCGAAGGTCAACCTCACCGCACGTCTGGGGGTGGCACTTCTCAGGGCTGGGCACTCCCGGGATAAACTGGGCGGGACTTGGAGGCGAATACTCCAGCAAGCTTCTCTGCGCGCCTCGAAAACCCGAAAAGCCGAAAAACCCAACACTGAAGAGACCGGGTGACGGGACAATCGGGACAACTGCCAAGGCTAAGGCTTTGAGACCAGCTTTGGCTCCGGTGAAGCTTTTACAGTCCAAGTGGAGCAAGCGGGCACGAACTGCGCAAAGCCACTGGCCAGGTCGCAGCCTGAACGCGCTTCGCCAACACATCCTCCCCCCCTCGAACTGAGCCCAGCCTGAACTTTTCATTTCCCCAGCCATCCCCAGCCTCGGGCGTTGCCCATCTTTTCGGGCTGAGCACATCTCGGCATCATGGCGCAATTTTTCGGAGACCCGTTTGCATCGCATCGGAGCTTCGCTTTGCAAGATAGGGAACGATCTCCAACGAAACTCCTTGCTCACGAGAAAATCTTTCCCTCAGCCTCCTTCCTTGCCTCCTCCAGCCCTCCATGACAGCGTTTCATCGCAGCAACCTCTCTTGTCCTCCCGCGGGTCCCCTATCTTGTGACAGATGTCAATCTGTCCGAAGCGCTCCAGCCTGGAGGCACAGCTGCACTCCACGATGCGCCACGTAGTTACGAAACACCCTCGAAGAGCTTCCCTTCATATTCTAGTGCTGATCTCTGAGGCTTCGGACTGGGTCTTTAGGGATAGCCGAGTCGTGCCGGAGTGGACACCATCCTCGCGAGTGCACGCGTTCAGGTCACTGCGATGGCATTCTGCTTGGCAACAACTGCACAGCGTCTACACACATATGTGAGACGCGTAGTCGTCGTCCCAAGCGTTCGTGCTGCAAGCATTGGAAAAGCTCTCTGACGGTCTGGTGGCCACTGAGCACGCAGCTATTATTTCGATCGTATCCCGCACAGCCTTCTCAGAGCATGGCATGTTCCATCAAGGACATTGTCAGATGTTGCCTGTTCCCGTTTCAGGCTCGCGCCATCTCGGACACATTCCCAAAAAGGCCTTGGAATCCCGGAGCCCAGAGAAAAGCGTCTTGCATTAGGGAATCACCTGCCCCATCCCCTGAGTACTGGACCAGGGTGAGCGGAAATCACACAATGACTGCTCAAGAGTGCTGGCAGCTGGCAGCACTGAAGCACCAGCAAATCCCAATGCGCGGCACAAGGGCGGCAAACCTGTGACTGATTCACCTGACCCTCGGCAATTGACCATTTCGACGGTCATGCAGTAAATATGTTGATAATCCTGCCAACCAACGCTCACACCACCTTGATGCGCAGATGCTCCGACCATCGGTTTCACTACGCAAGTCCGCTGACATGAAGATCATTCCGGACATACCCGGGAATCCTCGAACCCAACGCACTTTGTGACACGGAGAAATGGGGCCAGTCTGATGTTGAACAGGCGGAAGCGCTTCCGCGAACTTGGGAGACTCAGCCCTGCATCTCACTTGCGTTGCCAGGGTAGCGCAAACAGCCTCGGACAGGCAAGTGAGCGACTTGCATGCCTCTACATGACTGCACACAGTCACTCAGAATGGTCTTGCCCCGCCCACGTCACGAAAGCGCATGGGCAAAGGCGAGGCAGATTGAGAATCCAGCGCAAAGACAAGCTGGTAGGTCAGTTTAACTGCCAAAAATGGCCTGGTGCGAGAGATGTGCTTCAAGGATTTCAAGGCCACGATTTGTGAAGTGAGACCAGCTCTTTTGGCCTTCGCCTTGCTGCTCGCCGTAGGTGCGCCAGCATCAGCTGCTTGACCAAACGCTGCGGGCTCCTCGAAATCTCAAGTGTAGGATCGCATGCCTCACGTCAGCTGCTCCATGTGAATTCGTCGAATCGTGCAGGGATCCTGCGATGATGCTTGGTTGGTCTCCGGGATAAAAAGACCTGAAACAAGCGGCATTCCAGTATTATGTCGTGGTCCCCTCTGTTTGACATACGTATGTCAGGACCCCGGCGCCCCCTGTTATTCCACGTTACCGGCCCGCTGCAGAGGAGTGGCTTGTCGAGGAGGGGGATTGTCGCACTGGGCTTTGTTCCAAGCTACGTTTACGTCATTTTTTCGTCGGGCACGTTTCAGTGGCCGACCGTTTTGGCAGCTTGGGCGGATGCCTGGAAGCAGGATGTCCTGGCTCCGAAGGCTACATGCTTAGTTTTATGCCTGTTGTTCCTGGCCGCCAGAGCAGTGGTCTTATGGCTGGATGCGCAGTTGAGGTTGACCAGGTATGACGAGGGGTCTCAGAACCCAGGATCGCAAAAAAAGCTCTGGTCTGGTCACAAGTCGCGGACTCTGGCTGCCAAACGTCTCAGTGGAGCCGTCTCTGGCACAGTCAAGTCCTGCACGTTGAGGCAAGTCTCCATACTACCCGGTCATATTGCAAAGGATGCAGGCGAAGCGGGCTGCCATCAAGTCCTCGATAAGGCTGACACTATCCAGCTGCGCCTACATGAGTTTACAGCACGGGTATAACACATTAAACGCTGCGCTGCTACTTGTTACTGCAACAGCAAGACGGCACGGATGTCCCAAACAAACCGTCTGCAAAGCATAAGAAACTTAAAGTATAACATTGGGTAAGATCCTGGAAGACATATCTAACATCTGAAGCACGCCCTCCCGTCTTCCGATACATTGCCGGGTCTGGAAAGCTGTACAAGCTGCTCGAGTATTCTTCTCTGTTCTTCTGCTTCTCTGCTTTCCTCGCAATGCACAGTATTCATGAAATTCCGGCCTTTCGCCTACAAACTGCGCTTGCTTACTCCATCAAAGGGGCAGGTCAACGCATGAACCTCAAGCATCCTCAGCAGAACTGATACTCCTAAATCGCTTTAAAAAAACATCGAGGTGAACCCGGGGTACTCTTGGAAAAGACCCTTACAAGAATACAGGTCCGATTTGCTCAAGTTGTTGATGAGCAGAACGGAGGGAACGAGAGGAATAAGAACGGTGAACAGCCCAAGTCCACCACTGTCCCACGCGTCTAGGATTTGGGGAGGGGGGGGGTATGCCCTGCTTCGCTTCGGCGATCGTTCTCAAAAGACCCCTGAGGTGTCTTCATGCGTCGCTGCTTGCGACCTCTTCCATCCTTCCCTGTCTGTGCCCCTAACTTTTTCGATCAGAAAAGGTGGATGGGCAAAGTGCGGAAAGTACAGTTCAAGCCGTGTTGAGGATGCTAAGGGTTTAAGCATGTTTAACCAGTTCGGATGTGCAACACTTCGGGGCTTCTCCAATCGCGCAAACGGGATTCAACATTGCACAGTAAACTGAAAGAAGCGAATTCTTTACGCAGCCATGAGGTGGATCTGCTTGCATACTTCTGCCTCCGGTCCAATAAACACTGAGGTCTCGCACCAGAACTCTCCGTAAAGCCTGCCCATCAGGAACGGTCAGGAGGGCCTCACCGCAGCACTGCAGCACTTCCTCAACCATTCGTAGGCAAACCTGTTTTCCTGATCCGCTCTGTGTCTCGAAGCTGCTAGACTCCGCGTACCCGAGCCTCCAGGACGGTTTGTGCAACCTCCGGATAATGCAAAAACTCAGCCCAGGTAAGATGGAGACCGATGGCTGAATCCCGAGCAGGCGGGCCGTTCCACTGGCATTTTGCTTGGAGGACCTGCTGTGCCCGCCGACGACTTGGATCGACATGAGTAATACTTGAAACCGGCCTCTTGCCGTACATAAGCCGACCTTGTAGGAGAGACAACAGCCTGTAATTTGGTAGAAGCACTCTCCTCAAAGCTCATCCAAGTGGTTCTACATTCATGCTTTGCGCCTGAGGCGTGGCCCGGTCTCCTTCACACAATCACGATGTCGGTCACAAGAGCGTGCGAAGTTTCAGGGTTCAAGATGTTCACTGGCCGTCCTTTCGCTCTATCAGAGTTTGTTCCAAGAGCTCTTTGCCCGTTTTGGTGCGTGGCAGCCTCGGTTTGACTCGGACTCCTGAGCTGGTGATTTGAGCACAGCAACCAAGGCTGCGGCAGAAGCCTCCGAAGAGCAAAGGGTGATGACGTCGTGTACCTGAAAGTCTGTTCTGCGAAAGCATGATTTCGTACAAGCTCTACAAGCTCTCAACCTCCCAGCCCCGCTTCATCCCACTTCTCCCCCGAAGGCGGTCGCATGTTAAAGTCCGGGTCCGCAGCGAAGGCTATGCCTTCAAGCCTTCACAAGTGACTCCCAGCAGCAGCCAGGGCAGCAGAATGTTGCAAAGCTGAGCCCCCACAACCACATGAGCTTGAACTTGACCCCATTTTTACTGGGCGAGAGGTTGCAAGCTTGATCGTTGTATAGAACAAACCTTTCTATTCTCGAAATCCAAAACTCAACCTTTTGACAAGACCCTCAACCCTCAACCAGTCCCATACTGGTACCTTGCACAGGGCTTGCGCACGGCTTGCTCCGAAACCACAGATCTTGAGCATAAGACACTCGCAACTTTTAAATATGTTCGCCCTTGCCCCTCGCCATTGCGCACTCTTGCGAGGTGTAGGTTTTTTCGTGGCCTGGTCTATGGTAAAGAGGGCATGATTTAGACTTGAGAGATAGCGGCCATTTTTTGGCAATGAGGGCTCCCACGGATGAGTAGAAGCTGCAAGCTATATGCTGCAGATCTTGGGCGGGGGGGGGGGGTCAGAGAACACCCGCCCACACCCAACCTTTCCTAACTGAACGAAAAAGGTTTGGGATGTTGGGGTGGGCTGGGCGCACCACAACTTCACTGGAAAGATCACCGGCGCCCGCCATACGCCCATCTCATTTTGAAGCGACCAAGGAGCCTAATGAAGCCTCGAAGGCCTCGATAATTCTCGATATTATGTTGAGCCAGAAAGACTCAGTGGGACCTTGTGATGACCTTTGTGTTCTCAAGAGTGCTAAGAGCACTAGGAAGAACCTCAAGATCCTCAAGTGAACAAGAACGAAACAAGAACGATGTCGCACTGTCAAGTGAAACCAAGCCACGTCACGAAGGAGCGCATCACCAGCACGTAGTAGGACCTGCACTTGCAAGCGAGTTGCAAGCCGCTGCAAGCCATTGGGTTCTGCCAGTTTCTTGGTTCTCGACGGCAAGGTGAAGTAGTAACCTGTTTCACGAAAGGAGACTGCAGACAAAATTCCTGAAGACGTTTGCATACTCATTGGGCTTGGCATTCGGCGGAAGGCTAAATTGCTCAGCTCTTCATACAGCCTGAGTCGCCACCAAAGGCCGCGTCAAACAAAGAAACACACACACACTCGCACATCAGACACACAGGCACACAAACACACAAACACACAGGCACACAGGCACACAGACACACAGACACACAGACACACAGACACACAGACACACACCCACACACACACACACACACACACACACACACACCCACACACACACACACACACACACACACCCACCCACCCACCCACCCACCCACCCACCCACCCACCCACCCACCCACCCACGCACGCACGCACGCACGCACGCACGCACGCACGCACCACCCACCCACCCACCCCCCACCCACCATCACACACACACACACCACACACACACCCACGCACGCACGCACGCACGTCACGCACGCACGCACCCCCCACCCAACCACCCCCCCACCATCCCACCCCACACACACACACACACACACCACACACACCACTCACGCACACACACACACCACACACACACACACACACACACACACACACACACACACACACACACACACTTTTTGTTTTAGTGCTTCCACATAAACTGGTAGATGGAGATGCTCCGAAGGTAGAGATGCTCAAGCAAGAGGTAGTAGAGGAGCCCGAAAGTGATGAGGTAGAAGGGTCGCGAATGAAGGTTTATATGAAATATACTATGAGGTACTTGAAATGTTCCTTCAACTGTGCTCGTCACGCTCAGATGCTCTGCAAGTCATGCTCTGATGCTCCACCACTCATGCTCAACCAAGCTTGCTCACCACGCTCAGAAGCTTGCTCACCACGCTCAGAAGCTCTACAATTCATGCTCTGATGCTCCACAAGTCATGTTCTCACAACTCTGCTCAGCACATTCAGATGCTCCATGATACAAACTTCATGCTCCCGCAACTCTGCTCATCGCGCTCCGATGCTGCACAGTGCATGCTCATATGCTCTAACACTCATGTTCCGAACCTTCTCCATGCTTTCGTCCATCATCATGCTCGACATGTTCCATCACCATGCTAAAATGACATGCTCACGCAATTCTGCTCAGCTGCTATTCACAACACACAAGCTGAAAGCATCACGATCCACTCAAGCTTGATGGGCTCGAGGTCTTCTGGGGTTTGGGGTGTGTCATGCTCACGGCATCAAGAATTCACCCACATGCCAAGCAAAATACGAAATCCAGGTTGAAAACTGCGTTGTGGTTGAGGTAGTTGAACAACAGCGAGGACGGAACCAATGCACAGCTTGCATTACAGGATGTCTAAGACGATCACGCAGGTACACAGTTGGACGTCTCCAACTGCTTCACCACGAACCATGGGCGTCTTTGTTAGCAGGAGACCCATGGCCGTGCTCCTGCCCCCTGCTGAACATCATGTGCAGAAAACTTGTTAGATCGCAAATTCGTGCTTCTTTTCGCTCTCGTATGCAGTGCTTGTTGACGTTCCCGCATGTACAGCGGTGTGCCACACACACCCCTTTCGGGGCGACAAATGGATTGAGAGCATGGAATTCACACGTAGAGGTAGTCCAAGTCCACGAACTTTTCAGCTCTTTGTTTGGCTTGTTTGTGCGGTGCCGTTAGCAGGTGGATTTCCCATTGTCGCACTGTTCTGGAAGCAATCCTGCAAATTGGACAGGCGAGATATCTGTCCTCCGTTGGGTGGCATTTCATCTTCTTGACCTTCCCGTACTTGTGATGCTTCCGATGTCGATTGGGATTTGGACACGATCTGCTTCTGGGTGTATGGTAATCGTCCCGTTTTTGGTACTTCAGGAGCATGTCCTGCACCCGCTTGGTGCTCTCCTCGTGACTCATCACATACTCGAAGTCCGCCCTGGTCTGGATGTAGCGGGAGTGGTACATGATCTCGTGGCTGGTCATGGGATCGTGTTGCCGATGTTAAGGAGGCGCGTGTAGCAAGGTGATGGGAACAGCTACTCTTTATGCGAAGCAGCTGCACATGACGATCACAAGGCAGCAAGTCAAAGAAAATGTTACATCGACTTACGGCTCCAGTCTCTTTCGCTCGACAAATGATTCGCACACACTAGGATGACATTGCACAGACACTTGACGCTCAGCATCGAGGGTAGCTGTTTGACGCTTGTTCTGTGGTTCATCTGGTCGTGGAATAACCCTGTGTGAAACTGCGTCGAACACTGATTGTCAGACGTTTTGGCGCAATTGCACACTCTCTCAAAACTGAAAGATGCTCTGCATGCGTTAAAGTCCGCGTCGGTGGTGCATCTAAGCCGCATGTTCCTACTCAGCGCCCATAAGGTCTGATGTCAATGGGGGATGGGGTTGAGGATATTACGGTCTGCACGTCGAGCATGGTTTGAACAACATCTCAACCTCTGCCTTCTGGTAGGACTTGACGTCTTGCTCGGCTGAATTGATTATCTTACCGCATCCTTTGCGGTGATAGATGGTGCTCTTCTTGGTGACGAACACTACGTTGGGGTCCACTTCGTTGTTGAGGTTTGGGTGAGTGCGAGTGGACATCCCGGGTTTCGGGTCGAGGTCGATGGGTTTGTCACCATGGCAAAGAGGAGCGAAACCCTTGTAGTTGAGGAAGCGGGTGTTAGATGCCGATGCCGAGCTTGGGGTAGTGGCGCGCGCGGAGTCTGGATTGCCTTCTGTTTTGACCTTCTTGGACGCAGGGGAATCACGTTGCTCTTCAGGTTCTCCGAGGGGTCTGTGGCCGTGTTGGAGCCTTTGAACGTCGTTGCACATGATGGCGTTGGTGATGTGCTGTGCGGCTAGAGCTTTGTCATGGTCCGGTAGCCGGAGGTAGCATGTGGTGATGTCGTTGGGGTCCGATGCGGCCATGATGAGCCATGCCGCCATCACTTCATTGGACGCCATTGCGCTGTGATGAGGTCTGCGTGGTCACTGAGCTGTCTACTTCAGATGGGAAAGCAGTGGTGGGGGGGGGAAGGGAAGGGGAACATATCAAGCACACTGTACAACACAAGAGGCAGCATGAGCTTCTCCGACGCTTCTTTTAGCTGTGTGGTCAGCAGTGGGTCTCAGGTCGGAGGACGTGGTCATTGTCTTAATGATCGGGATGGGTTGTGACTGGTGCTCCACTGTGTCCGAAGTCCGTTAGCCGCATGTGGTGGTAGTTGAGCAGGTATTCTCTGTTGTCGTTGAGCGCGTGGTGCATGATGTTCTGGATAGTTTGGTTGTGCTGCCGCATCCAATGTATCGTAGCTGTAGCAATGGGCTTGGGTCGCATCAGGATGGCCACCGCATCCTTGTAGTAGTTGATCATCAAGGTCGTGGCGAAGGTGCGATCACATTGGGCTTGTTGTTCCACTATGTCCCTGTGTTCATCTGAGTTGGTGAAGTTGTAGCTCTGTTGGCAGTACGACGCAATGTTCTTGAGGAGGGTGTACACTTCGCTGGGTGACATTCTGATGTTGAAATCGACTTCTTGGTGTACTTGCCACGTCCAAATCTGGTTGGTGATGGTGGTGTACTTGATGAAGTGCTGGAGATGTCGATGATGTAGAAATCGATGAGCGGCGCTGATGATCTTCCACGGTTGTAGAGGGAGGGTCGTAAGGAGCACGCCGTATATCTCGGATATGTCTGTGCCATCCGTCCATTGCGGATATGTGTCGGGAAACTCAACATGAGATTCGTGGTACATCGGAGGTTCGATGTCGCCGGGGTCCGTGTACGTGTGAAGCATCGCACGTTCCTGTTGTCGATCAATCGCTAAATGGAATGCGAACAGGTAGAAGTAGTTGAGTTGAGTCTGAATGATGTCGTCCAAAACTTGCGGGTCCACGTGGAACAGATGTTCGGCTGATTCGCCTATGTGAGGATATGGTTGGTCCGGTTGACGGAAGCGGAGCATGCATCGAGCAAGGTGTGCCATGTCCAGCTGGATTCTGTGCTCATCCTCGTGGATTGTCCATTGTGGTTCTGGGGTGCACCGTAGACAATGGTGCATGTATCGAAGGTCGGGTCCTGCATTGTATAGTTTGTGGCACTGACCTTCGAATGCTTTGCACGTCCATCTCAACGCGTTGATTTCATGGAGCGGGAGGACCAGTCCTGTGATTTGAATGTGGTCTTCGCTGTTGATCTGCACGAAGGGTCCGTATGGTCCAGCTGGCGGTACATGTTGAGGAAGCCAGGCCACTGTGGTAGAAGCCGGAACTGTCAGTGCTCTAGCTGGACTCCACCGTAGAAGTTGTAGAGGTTGTGGATGTTGGTGCCGAAGCCTGGCAAGTTGCTCTCTCATGCGAGTTAGCTGGGCGTCACTGAAGTGGGACTCAAACTCGTGTCTTTTCAAGCCGATGTTGATTTCGTAGTGCCAGTACATGTACTCCAGGATCGTTGTGATGGACGTGTCCGGGATCATATTGCTCTGGGCTAGATAAATGAGTGGTGGTACCGAGCTCTGAGCACCGGGGACGGGTGAGGTGGCTTGGGCTTACTCATGCACTGCGGATTGATCTCGCACAACTAGCAAGCATCTTTTTCATCGGACGAAACTGGTGCATTGGTTTAAATAATTGGGTGGGAGTAAATGGGAAAGGTCTGTCCATTGGTATTCATGCGCATCGGGGTGGTCCTGTAGTACGCGTTGGGCGGAAACTGGTAGTGCCAGAACTTGACGATGAAGTGGCAGTGCGTGTCAATCCAGAGCTCACTGAATGGTGGGCCTCCCTCTGTGTCCGCGAACTCCTCCTGCATGTCTTGTGCGAGTTGTTGCAAGTCGAAATCAACGCGGGATCCATTGTCGGTCATCTCTCTGGTTCTATGAGGGCATATGCCGTGTTGTTCCAGACGTTTGAGAATGGTGGATACCTCGTCGTAGGTCATGAACTGTGTGTCCCCTTGGATGAACAAGTAGTACCAGGTGCGTATGGTGTTGTG